ACTCTGTTGAATTTATATACTTAGTATAGGAAATACACTTTGACTTTATTTAATTAACATCTTCATACTAATTGATGAAATGGCATTGACTTTTTCTTGAGAATGTCAGATAAGGGTGATACCATGATATAAGTTGATGCTATTTATTGTTCATGAGACTCTAGAACTGGTATCTGTGACTGCTTTAATAAGAATAAGTGGTTTGGGTCATGTCTCATTAACAGGACGTTGTTGCCCGCTCCTTTGAGCCTCTTCAGTGATATTTAATCAGTATGAAAATCAGCTGACATGTTATACTAATATGTGTAAATTTTGGTTTTAGATATGCAGACGACCCCGCATATTTAACCGGCTGCATTCAGTATGCGGGCGCGAACTCTGGAACTGGAACTACAAGAGGTCGGCTTCTGCAGCAGCACTGGCGCCCAGATGAAGATGACGCCAGTAACGCCACTGGACGCCAACAGCGTGGTTCAGTGACGAAGCTGGGACATCAGGCATGGAACAGTGAGTTCTGTTTTGTATCAAGGCATTCCATTGGTGCTTCAATTGGACACAATGAGATGCCAAACCTTCCTGGAAATATCCCAGCTTTCAAAGCTGATGTGGAACATGTGAAAAATGTGTCCAGAGGAACAGTGCAAACTCTCTGCAACCCAAACCGCTTCTTTTCTCCCTCAACGAAACTGCCCCCTTTATTTTATCCATCCTCCCCTCAACAAGTGCACCCAAACCAGCTGCCCGACCTCCCCAAACCTTGTCCATGACAGCTTCCCTCATCCAGTTCCCGGGCCAGCCCAACTCCATCGCCATCATCAGGTCAACTCTCAACAGACTCTCTCTCAGTCGACCTCTTCTTCTTCCTAGTGAGTTCTAGATCTGCACAGCTCAACTCACCATCAGGTCCACCTCAACAAACTCTCAATGGAGCTCTTCCTCCAGTTCTCGGGTTCGTCCAACTCAACTCACCATCATCCAGGTCCACCTCAACAAAACTCTGTCACAATGCAGCTCTTCCCTCAAGTTCTCGGTCTGCCCAGCTCAACTCTCCTTCATCAGCTTCTTCAGTGAAGCCCCCTGGTCCAACCACAGACATCAGCTGGAAGTGCAAGACATGCATTGCATCCTGCACCCACAGTAATTCTGTTGGAGGGACTTTCGCACCACCTGTGGTTAAAATCTGTGCAATCACCTTCTTCCAGGCCCAGCTCACCCCCCATGGTTCAGTGCAGTCACCTTCCGGTGTGTCTAGTTTATTCTCTCCCCGGCCCTTTCTCGCTTTCGCGATCATTCCGGGAGGGAGAAGGAGGGAAGGCAAAAGGTTTAGTACACCCAATTCAGTGAGAGACAGAATCTCTAAAATAGAACATGGAGGCACAATAAGAATGTGGGGTCACCCAGGTTAGAACAAGGTGGTAGAATTTGGGGTCTCCAAAACACACAGCATCACCAAAACCTGCAGACAGTTCATGGAAGACTAACCCAGATCCTATCCCCGGACATCATCACCCAAAACTGTCGGTGGTCACTTGAAAGCTGAGAGCTCCTGGAGACAATTGAGAACCTCAGTCAAAGCTCTGCTCAGAAAGCAGCTCACAGTCAGAACAGCCAAAACAACACACAGAAATCTCAGCGATATGCTTGAATCCTGGCGGGATGACCCTCGCCTCGCCACCACGACTCTACACGAGTCTTTCAGTTCGCCTTCATCCAACTCAACTGTCTCTAGCTCTCGAAAGGAGATCCAATAATCATGACAATCTTCCTCCCAATGTGTCCGACAGGAGACCCAACATTCAGGACAATCCTGCTAACAGTGCTACTCTCCCCAGTCCATCCTAGATACAGACATGCGGCCCCAGCAGAACAAAGTGCTGTAGATAAGCCGGAGTCCTCACGCTCCCGTCAGGTGAATCAGAGTGCATATAACCAAAGAGAACTAAGACATTTCCAGAGTAGTGCTCAGAGAACTCCTGATGGTGCTCCTCGGGGACAGGACCAATCCAGAATGTTGTCAGGCTAATCTCAGGCCTTGTCACCCAGGTATCGGAAAACGATCGAGAGATTGCCAAACACGCGACCAAGACTCAAATGGTGTGCATCGGGACGGTGGAAACATATAGTCCCCGAACATATCATCAGCCACATCCAGATATGCATAAAGGTGTTAGTGAATCTCCGGCGAGGACAAGGTGCTTCTAGTGATGTTAATAACATGAGAAGGGAACACTGAGAGGTCAGACTCTCCTCGGACTCAGGATAATAAGAAATCAGCACCCAGTTCTCAGGTGGAGAAGGAAAATCCCCAACCTGTTGATCCTGATTCCATGGCAGTTCCTGTTCATCATGGTCGTCAGCGCCTTCAAAGAAGAGATTGAGGTGATGAGCAGGCCAAACAATTAGCAATGGAACTGGAAGGTTCAGACAAGAAATTATCGGAGGTTCTTACTCAGGATCACAAGAGGATGAAATACATGGATGGCATGTTCACTGATCCTGTTGACATCAACAGGAGGCCCTCTCTTGTGGCAAAACGCAGCTCAAGGAAGTCAACACACCTGAAGACACCAACAAACCTGCTGATACTGACAAAAGTAAGTATTGCTAAAATGTTGCTATTGTTGGTATGAAATGTGGAGTGAGTGAGTGAGTAAGTTTAGTTTTATGCCACACTCAGCAATATTCCAGCTATATGGCCGGTCTGTAAATAATCGAAGTCTTGACCAGATGATCTAGTGATCAACAGCATGAGCATCAATCCATGCAATTGGAATGTGATGACATGTGTCAACTAAGTCAGCAAGCCTGACCAACCGATCCCGCTAAGTCGCCTTCTTACGACAAGCATGGGTTACTGAAGGTGTATTCTAACCCGATCTTCACAATGGTCTATGAAATGTGGAAAATGAGCTGCACCTACTCACTGATGTTACAAATTTTGTGATGTTTATCTACAAGGAGTGTACATATTTGTGGATAATTACTCCCAAGTTGAGCTATATCCAGCTTGATAAACTTCCCTCACTGGCAATGCAATAAAAATTTGTTTGGCTACAGCCTGTAGATCTCCTTAGGTTTGAAGTTAGTATGCCTGACGTCATTACATAGTGGATATTAACTCAAACCTGGAGAAGCTGCAGTTTTAGGTAGGTACATGATCTTTTCTCTTCCCTCCTTGTATTATCTTCAAGTATAAGAGTTACTTTATGACCTTAGTGACACAACATGAGTATCAATAGTGTAATGAAGTCGTAACCGTCTTGGGGAGTACTTACTGGCCAGTTTTGGGATGAGCTGTTACATTGTGGCAGGTTAATGAATGCAGCACTCGGTGCAATCTTGGTGCATACCCTGTAACTGAAATGTAGACTATGGAAAGCCAGGTTACGCAAACAAGGATTCTGTATATCTTGATTGCATATTTCGGCATTACTGTGATAATTGTGGGGCAGACCGAATCTCCAGAACCGATTATCTCTGGCCTCGAAGATGATTCAATACTTGAAGGTCCAGGGTTGTTGGAAGACTAGTCTGTCTCACAGTCCATGAACCACATTATTTTCCTAACTGCCTAGCCCCTCCTTGCAAGGCTATAGCCCTAAATGAAGCAAGTCCAGATTCCCCAGTTAGAATCTCCCAACTCACTGGGACTCCATTTCAATATAAATGGGTTTTATTTGTTACTATCAATATTATATATATTCAGGTACTAAGCATTAGTCTATCTGAAGTGATCGATGCTCATGGTGTTGATCACTGGACTGTCTGGTCCAGACTTCGATTATTTACAGACTGCTGCCATATAGCTGAATATTGCTGAGTCTTGATGTAAAACTAAACCCACACACTAGCTCACTCTATCCAAGACTTACAGTTGTAATGTGACAGAGAGACCATATAATTATAAAAGACATGGGTAGTCAGTTGGTCCAAAACACCTTCTATGTCCTCGGTTTGAATCCTGAATCCCAAATTTGAGATCCTGTGTTATTTTTAGGTTTCCCCAAAATAGTAAACATTTTACCTGTCCCACATGAAGTCAACATAGCCTCCTGTTTAATGGACTGCCTAAGATAAGATCCAATCACTTGATTTTTAATTACTTTCTACAATTTTCATTGGAGTATGTCGAGTTTAGATACCTTGGAGATGCACCTCCAAATTATCTGAAGAAAACCATATGACCTTGTAAGATCATAGGAATTATTGATAGCAACCATTACATGGAAAATTGGGAGATAAGAAAAAATTAATGATAAAAGATCTGGAATAGTTCTAATTTGCAGACGTTAGAGATAAAAGTTTGAATGAGAGCCTGTATATGTGTGGAATAATTAATGTTATGCTTGTATAAACCTTGCAAGATTACCAGGTAGATGGGGTCATGTGTGTGTATGTAACTACAAAGGTTCTCTATCATGCATTGATATTTAGGAATTTTATGTTATTTACAATCTGCAGATTATCATAAAGTTATTTAATGAGGAATTTCAAAGTAAAATCTCTACCGATAACTTTTTAGTTAAAGTTAATGCCAAAACATGTTTAGGCATCATGTTGGTCAGAATGGCTCGTAACAGAAAGGGCTGCTTCTGTTGTCTGGAGGGATGTGGGCCTTCCGCTCTCGGGCTGACAGCTTAACCACTACACCACGAGGCGGTCCCCCAGTAAGGGGAGATAACAAGGACTGCTCGTCCTGAGTGGCAGTATACTGACTAGGGTATCTGTGTTAAAACGCTTCCTTGTATGGTGGTGTAGTGGCTCTTAAAACAACAACAGTCCCTATATGTCTGGATTATTACCAATACTCATACACACACACCACTCACATGCATGCACACACCACACCACACCATACACACACACCAACACACATGCATGCACATGCCACACCACACCATACACACAACAACACACATGCATGCACACACACTCCACACCATACACACACCACCCACATGCATGCACACACACTCCACACACCACCACCCACACACCACCCACATGCATGCACATACCACACCATACACACACACCAACACACATGCAAGCATGCGCACTCCACACCATACACACACACCACCCACATGCATGCACACACCACACCACACCATACACACACACCACCCATATGCATGCACTTACACTCCACAGTCATGCACACACCACACCATACACACACACAGACATGTGCATGCACGCGGACTCCACAGTCATGCACACACCACACAATACACACACCCACACACATGCATGCACGCACACCCACAGTCATGCACACACCACACCATACACACACGCGTGCGCGTCTCTGAACTCACTCACTCACTCACACGCGACGCACTCACTCACTCACTCAAGAGTTGCGTGGTTTGTACAATTAGTTCTATTTGGTAGTATGAATTTCTACTTGGCACTGTCCATGCTGCTGTTATTCTGTGTGGTTTAACGCTATGAATACCATGATGTGGTATTGTTATTCTCTGTGGTTTAACGCTGTGAATACCATGACATGCTGTTGTTATTCTGTGTGGTTTAACGCTATGAATACCATGATGTGGTATAGTTATTCTCTGTGGTTTAATGCTGTGAATACCATGACATGCTGTTGTTATTCTGTGTGGTTTAACGCTATGAATACCATGATGTGGTATAGTTATTCTGTGTGGTTTAATGCTGTGAATACCATGACATGCTGTTGTTATTCTGTGTGGTTTAACGCTATGAATACCATGATGCGGTGTCTATCAGCTACTGCAGTAGCACAGGACTAGGGGCAGACATGTGGTGGGCAGCGGAGTTTACTGCTGTGTTTACATACATCACAGTGGGCTGAAGGAGCTAGGTGAGGGGAGCTGTGTTTGATGTGTGCGTGGCTGATGGAGGGGGAACGTGGCTGATGGAGGGGGAACGTGGGACGGTAGTGGACTTGATACCATGTAGATCCATGTAATGTTCAGTTGTGGTTATGGTAGGGATGAATGTATTCTGATGCTGATTTTCAATTTCATTCAAGTCACTCGGGGCTATATTCCTTGTTTGTATTGAGTATTAGTACAGAGGAATTTAGACAGTGTTAGGAATGTTAGTGGTGTAGTTTGTTTCTGGAGGAGGTGTTTCCAGTGAATGAAGCAAGGCTCAAATGTGATCTGTCGGTTGTTTTACACAAACATTTATGCATATTTATGGTTTAGCAAATACATTTGGAGTATTTACATGAGAGGAGAAAAAGAAAATCAAAATAAACTATTCCAAGTTTGTGGGAAAAGTACAAGTGTGTTTTGGATCTTATAAGGCTGAGCAAAGATGCTTTCCTTTGATAGTGTCAAGTTAAGCCTGACCTCTGCACTGACCTGAAACCATATACCAGTGCAGGGGGGAGGTTGGGGAGGGGTGCATTGCCCTGGATGTGGGGAGGTTGGGGAGGGGTGCATTGCCCTGGATGTGGGTAGGTGGGAGGGGTGCATTGCCCTGGATGTGGGATAACATGAAGGGTCTGATATGCAGGACAGGATAACATGTAGGGTCTGATATGCAGGACAGGATAACATGAAGGGTCTGATATGCAGGACAGAATAACATGAAGGGTCTGATATGCAGGAGGGATAACATGTAGGGTCTGATATGCAGGAGGGATAACATGAATGGTCTGAAATGCAGGACAGGATAACATGAAGGGTCTGATATGCAGGACAGGATAACATGAAGGGTCTGAAATGCAGGACAGGATAACATGTAGGGTCTGATATGCAGGAGGGATAACATGAATGGTCTGAAATGCAGGACAGGATAACATGAAGGGTCTGAAATGCAGGACAGGATAACATGAAGGGTCTGGAAATGCAGGACAGGATAACATGAAGGGTCTGAAATGCAGGACAGGATAACATGAAGGGTCTGAAATGCAGGACAGGATAACATGAAGGGTCTGAAATGCAGGACAGGATAACATGAAGGGTCTGAAATGCAGGACAGGATAACATGAAGGGTCTGATATGCAGGAGGGATAACATGAATGGTCTGAAATGCAGGACAGGATAACATGAAGGGTCTGAAATGCAGGACAGGATAACATGAAGGGTCTGAAATGCAGGACAGGATAACATGAAGGGTCTGAAATGCAGGACAGGATAACATGAAGGGTCTGAAATGCAGGACAGGATAACATGAAGGGTCTGAAATGCAGGACAGGATAACATGTAGGGTCTGATATGCAGGAGGGATAACATGAAGGGTCTGAAATGCAGGACAGGATAACATGAAGGGTCTGAAATGCAGGACAGGATAACATGAAGGGTCTGAAATGCAGGACAGGATAACATGAAGGGTCTGAAATGCAGGACAGGATAACATGAAGGGTCTGAAATGCAGGACAGGATAACATGTAGGGTCTGATATGCAGGACATGATAACATGTAGGGTCTGAAATGCAGGACAGGATAACATGAAGGGTCTGAAATGCAGGACAGGATAACATGTAGGGTCTGATTTGCAGGAGGGATAACATGAATGGTCTGAAATGCAGGACAGGATAACATGAAGGGTCTGAAATGCAGGACAGGATAACATGAAGGGTCTTGAAATGCAGGACAGGATAACATGAAGGGTCTGAAATGCAGGACAGGATAACATGAAGGGTCTGAAATGCAGGACAGGATAACATGAAGGGTCTGAAATGCAGGACAGGATAACATGAAGGGTCTGAAATGCAGGACAGGATAACATGAAGGGTCTGAAATGCAGGACAGGATAACATGAAGGGTCTGAAATGCAGGACATGATAACATGAAGGGTCTGATATGCAGGATAACATGAATGGTCTGATATGCAGGACAGGATAACATGAAGGGTCTGAAATGCAGGACAGGATAACATGAAGGGTCTGAAATGCAGGACAGGATAACATGAAGGGTCTGAAATGCAGGACAGGATAACATGAAGGGTCTGGAAATGCAGGACATGATAACATACGAAGGGTCTGATATGCAGGATAACATGAATGGTCTGATATGCAGGACAGGATAACATGAAGGGTCTGATATGCAGGATAACATGAAGGGTCTGATATGCAGGACAGGATAACATGAACTTTCTGCTGTGGAAGGGGTTCCAAGAATGGTCAAAGATGTTATACAGTAGGAAGAAGGGTCTCTATATTAGGAGTATGATTTTATCTCCAGCTGGGATAATCACCTCTAGTTCCTTCCTAATGTTCTGCTACAATGCTGCTACATAGTCCCAGTAAGCAAGATGTGAAAGCTGTTGAGTTCAGTACTCATTTGCTGAACCTTTTGTGGAGGTAAAATTCCCATCACTATCGTGTTAACACACTTCAATCCCATCTTGGAGCTGACATTTTAGGGAACATTTACAATGAAAATACCAGTGGTAGCACATCATAACAGAAAATAACACAGACCTACTGAGAAACTAAAGGAAGTAAAAATCTGATGCCAAAACATCTGCCTTGTGGAATATAACGTATGTATATTTAGAAGGAGGCAGGGAGGAGATGATGAAAGTGAAAGAAATTGACAAGCTATATTTCATTTTATTTAACAACTGCATGAGCTTATTTCAAAGCCACTCGTGAGGGAGTTGTTTAGCATGAGACTATACTCAAGATGTGCACCTGTCCTGGACGTTCTTGTTCTTGTTCTTGTTACGCTGTGAGGTAATTGTTGGGTGTCTTTATGATGCATTAGTGCCAGCAAACGCAAAACTGAAATTATGCATTCTTTTGTGAAGGATTGGCTGCCAAATTGATGATCTATTAGTTGTAAATATAGCCCAGCTTCGGTACATATGTCCTGTATGTTTCCGAGATGTTAGACATGCATACTCTGAGTAGGAGAGATCAGGAATGATTGGATCTGGATCAGCTGGAATCTGGCTGGAACTGGTTCGACATTATCAGTTTCTTTGAAGACCTGCAACAAGTCTGCTAGTATTTAGCTACACCACCTCACCTAGTGTCAAAGGGATCTCTAACTCAGTTAGATTCTGAGATAATTTAATGTTTAAATGTGCAATCCTAGAGTTTATTCTAGGTCCTCATCAACCTGTGCTGGCTTGTAATAGGCTACCATGTGGATCAGGTGGTCAGGTTATCCACCATATGGATCTTGGTGTCAGTGTTTGCCCTTAACCCTGAAAAACTGCCCTAAGGACCAAGAATCATAAAAAGGTTGTTGGTCCTGATCAGAATGTGTAGGCCTTATATTAGTCTGTCGCATTACAGACCCTGAAGCAAATATATCCAAGAGAGCCCACGCAAGTCTAGAAAATATGGCAAGTCTAGATTTCCTCAGCTTCAGGAAAATGAAGAAAGTCTCAGGGTTCCTTTTCATTATATATATATTTTTTTTACTATGAACTTTTTTCAGTAAAATATGTTCATTTCAGAGACTAGTTGTTAGTCTAGCCTTATATTTATAGATACAATAAAAGTAATTCCCAACAAACAATCATATCTCAGTAGTCTAAATTGCTTCTTCGTAAATGATAGTCATTTCACTTACAGACAACAGCTGCTGATCGAGATGAAAACTAGAAATTACTGAATGATATTTTCTGAAAGATAATACTCTTAGCTATCAGGGGATTAAAATGCTGTTGGTCATAAGGACCTGCAGAAAACCAAAGCTGTGGGTCCAAGTGGTTTCAGTCGGCTTCGGGCCAAGGACCGACGCTAATTTCAGAGCGCTGTTTGGTGACTCTATTCCACTGTGTGGATAGTTGCTCATAACATCAGTCACTGGTCTAGACAGGATGGTTTACATGCTACCATCAAGTAGCTTGAACATTGAAGAATGAAATATTAAACACAAGCAGTAAAGAAAAATTTGAGAAGTTTTGTGACAATTATTGCTGTTAATCACATTATTGATGAAAAGTTTTATCAATGTGTTTTACATGTTGCCTGTGGCTGAAACAAAATAGTTAAGCCTTATCAAACCCTCATCATCAACATATGGGGTAATCATTACCATAGGCTATTGGCTTGATAGACTAATATCTAGTCTCTAAAATGAACATGTGTTACAGAAAGCACAGTTCTTAATTCATCTTTATAAAATATAATGAAAAGAGCCCCGCGTGACAGTCTTCATTTTCAGAAACTGCAGTACTCTGACTTGCCAAATATTATACTTTGCATGGGCTGTGTGTGATATATATTTGTCTCAGGGTCTGTTCAACAAACTAGTAACTAGACTAACATCTGTGGTAGGAAACAGTTGAGTTCAGTCACTGTAATGGGAAGTCATGCTCTCAAAGTACTAATCTCAATTTTTCTCATTTTATGAAAAAACCATTCTTTGGATGGGCATTTTGCTTATTCAGAATAACTTCTTACCACTTGCCCCAAATATAGAATCCGTGGGGAAGGAGATTAATACATCTTAAAGACAGAATATTTTCAGGATCAAATCTGAAGATTCAAGATGATGCTTTTAAGTTTCATACTTGATATGGTGAATTAAATGATTTACGATGTTGTTGTCATTGCAAGACAGCTGCAACTGTCAACATGGTGGACTCCACGTGATAATATATAAAAAAATATATTGATATGGGTGTCTATTATCTGCCTCATAGTTCTAAATAACGTTTAATATTCCACCATCACTGATAAAAAATGAATCCCATTTCATTCGTGGTTTATAAAGTATCTGTAAACTAACCCTGAATATATCTTCCGGACCACTGACGTGAGAGCCAGTATCCCTATCTCTTGACTGCTCCCAGACAGCCAGTCAATGGAGCTTGTCACATCCAAACTCTGATAGCACAAAGCCGCCTCATAGGCTGGGTTTGAACCCCACTGACCTAGTTAGCCGATAAATGACATTCCTGGCTAATTGCGTGGTCATGTGACCGCTATTAGCAGATATTTGGTAAATATGTGTGAGGGTAATTCATTCTAGTTAGTCGTGTTTGGATTGAGATGTAGAGGTCTGTTTTGGATGTGGGACTGCAGTATAGGATAGACAGACATGGAGGCTAGCAAAGAGTGAGTGTTCACAGGATTAAACATTGCGTCTGAGATAGTTTCATTAAGGATATATCTTGTGTGTTTGTTGGAAATTGTGAGATATTTTGCAAGCTTTGTGATGTGTTATTAGTAATCGATTCATTTGGAATTGTGTCTCAAATATGACTTGGTTCAGGAAGTTTGTATTGTATGTTTTGTTGTACAGAAACATGTGTATTAAGTTGCTGCATATGCTATTGTGTGGAGGTAATGTGTCGCTGAGGTAATCAATGATGTTATCAATCAGATTTTGTTTAGGTCGTTATTGTGTAGTGGCAACAGTTGCACTGATCTAACACTGTGTGGTGAGATTGTGGTGGCAGGTTGTGAAAGGTTGTCTTGATCTGACACTGTGGAGATCCCGGTAGGCAGCTTTGGTATTGAGTTCATGCACTGTGCAGTGGCAATAGTTGCCCTGATATGATGACACTGTAGAGGCAATAGTTGCCCTAATTTGGTGACACTGTAGAGGCAATAGTTGCCCTGATTTGGTGACACTGTAGAGGCAATAGTTGCCCTGATTTGGTGACACCTGTAGAGGCAATAGTTGCCCTGATTTGGTGACCTCTAGAGGCAATAGTTGCCCTGATGTGGTAGCACTGTAGAGGCAATAGTTGCCCTGATGTGGAATGACACTGTAGAGGCAATAGTTGCCCTGATGTGGTGACACTGTAGAGGCAATAGTTGCCCTGATGTGGTAGCACTGTACAGGCAATAGTTGCCCTGATTTGGTGACACTGTAGAGGCAATGGTTGCCCTGATGTGTTAGCACTGTAGAGGCAATAGTTGCCCTGATTTGGTGGCACTGTAGAGGCAATGAGTTGCCCTGATGTGGTCACATTGTAGAGGCAATAGTTGCCCTGATGTGGTCACACTGTAGAGGCAATAGTTGCCTTGATGTGACACTCTGTACAGGCAATAGTTGTGCTGATGTGATACTCTGTACAGGCAATAGTTGCCCTGATGTGACACTTAAGATGATAATAGGCTGGTTTTGTATTGAGTTCATGCTTTGTGTAGAGGCAAAAGTTGCCCTGATATAAACATACGATCCTTGTCTTTACAGAGGTGCCCTACCTGCGTCTTACTTCAAGGGATCTTCCAAGGCTCTGGTGGAGATGGAGCTGCGACGACAGAATGAAGAGGTGAACAAGGACATCATCAAAGACCTTCAGGACAATGACAGCCTCAGGAAACAAAAGGTAACAACTCCACCTAAGTTAAGCGTTAAGGAAGTAAGATATTTTGAGATATGGTGAAGAGAAAGATATGCTGTGTAGTTTGACATTTGTCTGAATACCTACAGTTTTATGTGGGATCGTTTTGTTGTTCAGGCAACAGCTGGAAACAAAGAGGTTGTAAAACTGTCAGTCTGGTTCATGGGTTAAAACTTTGTTCTTTATGAAATTGAGTTTAATTCTCATTGTTTGTTATCTTGTTATCCCATTTTTTGTGCTGCTTGGTGTTCTGTACCTTTACTATATATGAAAACTTCACTTAAAGAATGTCTTACAAGCAGTAGACTATTTACAAAGATTCTAAAGTACATGGTAGTAGTTGTCAATGATTGATGTGTTGAAATGTTTCATGGATAAAAATGAAGTGCCACTCAATAGATCATTCAAGTTCTAAATTTAAAATAGCATTGACTTCAAATGATATGATATTCTTGTTTCTGCCACTAGGAGGAGCTGATGGAGAGTTATATGCCAAGCTGAAGGTGTTGAAGGAGGAGAAACTGTCACTGCAGCAGGAGATCGAGGAGAACGAGGATCTGGGCAAGAAGGTGTGTTGCTGCTAAGTGTGACAATTGGGTCATGTATATGTAGGCTGTTGGGGTGTAATCTTATTAAAAGCTTTGACCACTCCGTTCTACCTATGGTAAAGTATTGTAAATACTGTTGTAGTACTTTTATAATAGTTACTCTTTCATCTCCTTTACATTACAAAAATGTGATTAGCAATTGTATTATTCACATTTCAAACTTTCCCTGTTATTTTTATGTTGTGTGAAACACATTCACAGTTTTCGAAGTTGCTAGGAGCAGTTCTAGAATGTTATGTGAGGTAGCTTTATCTGTGTCTGATCTTACCAATAGAGACACCCTTTGTTAAAGATCAGTAGTTGTGGGACTTCATTGGCTGAGGAGGAGATTTTATGAATGTTTCATTTGCCATAAATGAAAATTTGAATGAGTGATTGAGATAACTTCTTTGAGTGATTGAAATATTTAGCTATGTTGCATGTGCACTTAAAACTTTTGACAAGTCAGAATGTCATTAATCAAACACATGTTGTGATGTAGTTGTAGTCTGTCTCACAGTCCCTAAACCCACATTAATTTCCCTACTGCCAAGCCCTCTCTGCAGTACTAAAGCCCTAAATAAAGCAAGTCTAGATTTCCTCAGGTTCTGAATCTCTGGTCTCCCTAGGGCTCCTTTTCAATATAAATGGGCTTGTTTGTTACTATCCAAATTATATATATTCAGAGACTAAGCCTTAGTCTAATGTAGTTGGTATGATCTGAAGTATGTTGGATGTTACAATCACAATGACCTACGTGTGAAGTCTTATGCATCTTTGCTGACTGTGATACTGCTCTTTTTTCCCCAGGTGTGTGAGGTGGTTGAGAGACAGGCCCATTACTCGGCAGAGAAGGGGCAAGTTCAACCGCTTCATTGATGAACTGGAGAAGATAGTACGCCTGATGCTGAATCTGTCTGGACAGCTGGCCAGAGCTGAGAATGCAGTGCAGAGTCTTGGGCCTAATGTTGATGCTAAGATCAAGGTAAAACATGGTCCTAACACTCTGCAGACATATTGTCCCCAAGTGTATTCTTGGTTCAGATACTAAATGTTATAAATATCCACAATTTTTTGTTTGTATACCGTAATAAACAGTATCCAAGGGTAAAATGTAGAGCTGATCAGTTTCAGTGGCAGCGAGATTAGTCATAAGATTGTGTTGTAAAGGTAACTGTATGAGGTCATAACAATCTGCAAAGCATTGTGATGTCATTTCATTGTAGATAAGCGTCCTAAGAGTTCTCACTTGATCTCATAGAAGTGCTATGCCCTTTGGAACTTGTAGGAAATGATTTGTGATTCAGTATGGCCCCATTGTGTTTTATAAAAACAGTTTGGTAGCCAGAATTTGGAAGGATCATGTTGAGTGAAATTGTTGGAATAAATAATTTTGTCCTACAGCTTGATTTCCACAAACAAGAATGAACTCTTTCAGATAACTGGTCTTTAATATTTCAACTTTAGTGCATGTCTTTGATAGCATATAGTAGCTGTAGGGATGTTAATTTAATGATACGCATTGTTTTACAGAAAATGATGACAATCGACAAGCGTGAGAGCGACTCCATGCAAAGTACCAGGATGCTAAAGGATTAAAGGAAGACATTGATGAGCGCCCAGTGAAAGTGTGGCTGGCATGCTTCAGTAACTTCCTTTCCGAATGATGAATTTGACGATTACATGTACTTCATTAAAATGAAGTCAAAACTGACAATAGACAGGTGCAGGATTTGGAGGACAAGATTATGCTGGGAGAGGAGCAGATTCAGGAGTTGAAGAAAAGTATCCCAGATGGCTAACAGAAGGGAGATAACTCTAACAAGGGAGACAACTCTTCTCGTTATGTGGAAGAAGGCAGTTTATCTAACCCTGACAAGGAGAGACCAGTGCTCCAGCCATTTATAACCAGTCTCCTTACATGGAAGCTAAGACTATTAACCATCAATTAACATAATGGAACAACGGTACTGAAGAGATGCTTTTTGTTGAACTCCGAAAAGCTCTTTAAAATATGGAGCTGACATAAGTTTAAGTAAAATTAAAAAGTCCAAGGAATGATTCAAATATGCAAGGTATGTGGACAGTTCCACACTATGGCCAAAGGGAAGACAACTCTGCCAAACATATATTGAATCTATGGAAAAGAATTCTGGTGTTCCAGATGCACCGTTCTTCCTGGGATATAGAGACATTGTGACAATGTTGTGATAAAATGTTTGATGCTTCTTGCTGTCAAAACCATACAGTCTGTCAAAATGAACTGGATATCGGATTGTTGATTCTCAGAATATATATATTTTTCGTTATTCACTGATTCTGAGGAGTGGTAGTGTGTTCAATTTTTAAGAAAATATGTGACAGAATGGATGGGCGAGCCAAAGTTGTCATCATGACTCTAGAAAGTAACAATATGCAATTGCCACAGTATAAACCCTCCTTCCTTGAGTGTCTGTGAGTCCTCGCTGTGAGGGGAAGAAGGATGCACATGTCACAGGGTATTTCTCTGTGTTTAGCATATAGATGTAGGTCTCGATTGCAGATTTACATAAAAAATAGACATCATAATCTCCACTTCAGATTGTCTTCATCGTTTTCATCACTCTCGGTTTACTTGCCTGTGTTGTGCTGTATATAAATTACTGTTGCTCTGAAGGCAAAGACACACATATCTGTCCTTGGCCCGATCCACAAAGCGTTCGTAGAGCTACGACTTTTGTTTAGCTAATGATAAACTATAGAGTTATGACATTTCGTAACGTTACGAACGCTTTGGATCGGGACCCTGATTTTCTGTCATAGCTGATTTCATCAGAACATCGAAACTGCAACCATCGTAACCTCTTCTTGTGTACGTTTTTGGGTTTAGGAATTAAGAAAGGTTCTTTATACGACTGAATCTGCTTGATTTTGTTTGAAATTTACGTTGAGATATATCAGTTAGTCATTTGGATGCATATATTACGAGGCTGATGGATGCAGCTTGTTGGAACTTGGCCCTCGTGTAATCTATGCTGTACATATGCCTTTTGTGGTTCCTTCTGTCATTTTTATTTGTAAATTTTGTCCATAATATTTTCTTTATTATTTCAGCTAGCACACCATCTTAAAGTGCTTGCAATATTTTTTTTCGTTTTCAAAATTTCACTGGATGTTTAAGGCGCCAATTATTTCTAGATATTTAAAAGATCGCCATGACAACTTAATCTGTCAGTGCGCACGAGACGAGTGTACATATTTGTGATTTCATTAGTGAAGTTATGATCTGATTAAAGGGGAGATAACCATACAAGTTTATGATTTTCCTCCGACTAAATGAATTTCATTTGCAGTGGACCATGTGGACATTGTGGAAACTAATGTACAATGTGATAAAATCAGCGATAACCTGTGAATAGTTTCATCGCGTAGTTTACCGTTATGCCATATTTTTGAGCATTATAAGAGGTGCTTAAAGTGCTAGTTCAAAGAAATTCCTAACTGTGTGACCTTTGGCCTTGTATATCAGCAATACATAAGCCCATCATGGACATCTTCACATAAGGTATTTTCAAAGGTTGTTTGGGTATTTTAACAAGCATGGTTGTGACGTGACATGTTGTAAGATAAAACATAAATCGTTTATTTTTCACCAGTTTATAATAACCAATTTTTTCATTGCAATAAGTTATTTGTGACTGTGTACATGGGACTGCGATGTCTTGGTGCATGCATTGTTAAACTACAAAGATCTTGTCATTATCTCCCTCCAAGGTTTCAATGTCAACATACAGTGTTTCTTAACCAGCAATAAAGCATGAGAGATATTTTTTGAATTTGTAGATTTGATATTTTTTGTAGTTGACTATTTATTGTCATTTCAAAAGATTTGATGTAAGTTAGGATATTCCTGAAGGCAAAGTAACAATGTTAGTGGGCTGGTTGACACCAGTCTGTACCCCTATCTGCATACCTATGCGTGACCTTTGTAAGCATGATGGAAGAAGCTCTTGTACCCCGTGTATTACGTACATTTTTATGCAATATCATATCACTGTTGCACATACACGAGTGTACACAAAAGTGTATGCAATCATGCACTGTGTATAGGGCCCGACTGAGTTTGCATACCTATGTATGACGCTTGTATGAACCTTTGGTTAAGTTGTATATCGCGTAGCTACATACGAAGTTACGATGATAACCACATGTACTAGCCCTATAGTCAGCTGACCCTCTTTGCTGTACTACCTTTCTGCTGCTCCAACGGTACCACAATCATCAATAAATGGTGTGTGAACTATACAGGTGTTGTGCTGATTTCACAGGCCTAGGGATATGGGCATCTCAGACATTTGTCAGAATGGTCGACTTATGGTGGGGATGTGCCAAGTCTTAAAGATTGACTAACAGACTCCTGGACCAAAATACTTCTAAATATGGCATGCTCTTTTACCCTGCCCACCTGTCAGCATTACTGGGGTTTGAGTCAACAAGTGGTCATCTCAGAGTCTGTATACCGCATGTGAAGGGGTATCCATAATATACTGTGGCATTTGTCTCAATGGCAAGCTGGGTGAAAAGGCCATTTGTTCGACTGTTACAAGCAGCCACTCACTCACTCACACGTTGCTAAGTAACTGCAGTAATCAAGCAATGCCACATTATAACCAATTCTAGAACACGTGACCTTCAGGAATTTTGATCCAGTGTGTCAAGGCCATCCACAAGGTCATGGACTGAGATGAGCTTGTCTGCTGGTGGTAACTCCAGAATCAGTGTGGAAAAAGCATGGTGAACTTACTCCTTGGACTCAGGCAGGCAACTGAAAAGCCACGGCGGGGACATTACACCAGGGTTTTGGCATGACCAGCAGATGCCTTAAACCACTTTGAATGCTGTGTCTGGTGTAAAACCAGAAGGTAGTGCATGATTTCTGTATATGATCCAGGTCAATGTGAAGGTAACTTGTGAAATGTGCAGATATAGTTGGCTTCTGGGTGTAATGGTTAAAGGTTGGAAATACATGTAGGATCCCAGATTACAGCAAATGCATTCTGTACATCCTATAACATATTCTGTACACACAAATTTTGCAAAATGCAAATAATTTTGGTCTCCTCAACATGGCAGACTGACTTTTACGAGTCTGAAAGGCAATAATTAAACATTCTAGAACACACAGCTAAAATAATACCAACTGTTGCTATGAAAAGGATCTGAGATATACTGTGTATTATGTTGACTGCTTTCAGTTCAGACTTGTAGCATATACTATAATAACTGGGACGAGAATAATTCTGAAATGTCAAATAGGGATTTTATTTTAACTTTTGTACCAATGAATGTGTAAGAATCACCTCTAGCAATATAATATCTCGGTCGCCCTCCTCTGCCGTTTTTGTTCTGTGTGCACCATTGTTCAGGATAATAGTTGTGAAGATTCACAAAGTGTCCTTACTGTAAACAAGCTGGTGTGTTGGTCTACTGGCGCTGGCTTTTAATGCTGTATTACAGACACAAACCACACCGCACATATTATACGTGCGCTTCTATTATTAGCTAAACGTCTCCGTGATTCGTGATTCACGGAGTCATCATTCGGACTGACTGCAGTGGACAATGGGGCCTCAGTGCTCTGGGCCAGGGCGGCGTGTTTGTTTCCGAATAATCCACTGTCTGGCAATGGCCTTGGTCGAGCGTAAACAGGCTTCAAACACTTCATACAGCGTCACAATGCTCGCCCCGAGGAAGAAACCCATCTGACCTCCCAGGGTGCCTTCAAACACACAAAACAACAGTTATATCGTGAGTCACTGACGGTATACGTAACAGTCAGTGATAGCCAAGCTTAGTCACAGTACAGGGGGTGTCACGCTTAGAAACAGCGTTAGAAGGCATATGGGTATATAGATCCTACCCTAGTAGTATCCTTTTATATAGTACTAGGGTAGGGTCTATATACCTATTTGTCTTTCTAACGCTGTTTCTAAGCGTGACACGTACCTGTGGTCACAGCGTCAGGCAAATTATCGAGTGCGGACAGGCAAACTCGTGTCTGATAGCACGGGCATCAACCCACACTGCACACTTTATGTCCTAAACTGAAGATTTGAGTTTGAAGACACTATTTTTATATCTGTTGTGAACATCTGCAAAGGAGTGAGTGAGTTTAGTTTTACGCCGCACTCAGCAATATTCCAGCTACATGGTGGCGGTCTGTAAATAATCTAGTCTGGACCAGACAATCCATTGATCAACAACATGAGCATCGATCAGCGCAATTGGGTCAGCGAGCCTGACCACCCGATCCCGTTAGTCGCCTCTCACAACAAGTATGGGTTACTGAAGATCAATTCTAACCCGGACCTTCACGGGTCTATCTGCAAAGGAAATCGTGGAGAGTACGAAGATCAATCTGATATATCATCCCACCACATGCGTATCAGCCGTATGTGCTCAATGCTGTGTAACTGTATACAAATAACAAACAGCAGCAGCAGCAGCAGCAACAACAAAACAACAACAACAACAACAACAACAACAAGAAGAAAACACACGAATACATGATACGATTTTAATAAAAAGGGAGACAACTTACCCACCATCGAGGTCAGTGTGTACTCCGGTTCGTATTCAAGCTTATGTACAATCAACCGTTCGTACCATATGTTGATGCTGACCAGATTTTGTCTGTAAGAAATTGTGTATTAAAGTCGTTTTATTGTCTGCACATTCGTATTCATATACATACGTTCTGTTGTAACCCATTTCAGAACAAACGACCATTGGTTTGTCTTGACTGTGAGTGAGCGAGTTGGGTTTTACGCCGCTTTTAGCAATATTCCAGCAATATCACGGCGGGTACACCAGAAATTGGCTTCACACATTGTGTCCATGTGGGGAATCAAACCCGGGCCTACGGCGTGACGAGCGAACGCTTTAACCACTAGGCTACCCCACCGACCGTCTTGACTGTGAAGCAATGCATAAGAAATAGCAGTAAATTTACAAATTAGCATTTACACGAGTTGCACTTCGTTGTAACAGGAGGAAAGTGTTAGAATTGCTGGAGAATTCTGGGTTTCGTAATAAATATTGTTGCATGAATGTCAAAGTTTCTCCAAGAGAACGAAGGCTATATATCGTCTCAGTCAGCAATACTCAATACGGACGACAGTTTGGCCCAAGACTACCATCTAGTCTCTGAAATAAACATGTTTTACCGAAAACTGTTCCTAAAATAGGATCACAATAAAATATAACGAAAAAGGAGCCCAGGGACTTTAAACTAGGGTAATCTTGACTTGCCACATATTCTGGATTTGCATGGGCTTTCTCGGATATATTTGTTTCAGGGTCTGTATGACAGACTAGGGCCAGCCAAACCGAGTTTGGACCAGGAAAACCAGTAACTTAAACGTAAACGGGGAATTAAAACCGGGACTTCTCCATGACGAGCGAACTACTCGCACAAAAGGCTACCAAAGCCATGTTCCAAAGCTAGACTGGATGAAAAGTCCATGGATTATATAGATTCGACCTTCTAAATAAAAGGACAGTACATCTTCAGGATCCCTGAGCTCACTGGGAGTCCTTCTCAATTCTATGTTTTCAGACACTAAGCTTCCAAGTCTATCAAACTTGGGTGTGTACTTTCTTTGCACGGAAGTGTACTTTAACCTGGCATATTCCTCCGACGGCACGACGTTGTTCCGAACCATGTAGTCGGTGACGGCATTGGAGGGAATGCACCGTATGACAGCTTGGTGAAATGTCGTACACAAAGAATCTTACAAGGCTTGTGACATTGGCAGAGTTCTCGCTGTGACGTCTGGTTGTAGTATACCAATGCTAAACAAAATCACAGTGGAAGATAACCTAAAGAAAGTATAATAATAATATATATTCCTGAATTTCTTCATCCTAATATGTCACCCCATGGTTGCAGCATAGGAGGGGGAATAAGGTGGTTAACGCCCATTGGCTTTGCAATATTGGAGAGAAGAAGTTGGTTAACGCCCCATAACGGTGATTATCCAATGTAATCGAGACGTGAGATGAGAGCATTAGAATTGGTAATGTCTGCCTGTTTAAACGAATTCATGGTTATCCAATGTACTATCATATCGCTATTACGATCAAAACCCTTGGCTTGTGTAAATAATAACCCTCGGTTTGTTAAGTGCTCGATTCGAATGACACGAGGCTTAAACTAGCCATCCACTCACAATACAGCCATGAGCGAAAGCAATTTTGTGCTAACTTTGTGATCAGATGTGGTACAGGGTTATTAATCATGACAGGCGAATCAGGAACTGGATAATGACATCGGAATTAGCATGTTCTTACCGGTGTAATTAAATGTGCAGCCGAAGAGTTCCTCTCCAACGTGCAGTATGGGTATGGCAGGTCGTCTGAAACATGAATCATATGCATTTGAAGCTTGGGTGAGTAGTGAGTGAGTTTTAGTTATTACGGCGGAGACAGCACAGTGTGCCCATATGGGGAATCGTACCAGGATCTTAGTAAGTGTCTCCGTAAGAATGGCGCGCTGATAGCCACCAGTTCAACATGGTTTGGTGCATGTCGTTTGTGTATACTGTGAAATAAATGGGCAAGTTACCGCTACAAATTCTGAGCAGGGAATTTGGCTCGAATCGGGAACTTACCCTGGTCTATAGCGGTCTCACACCTACTGTTTTGGTGAGAATCGGGTGTATATCCTACAGGAACTTACACTCATAGTTGGTCCAGAGAGTCTTCCATACAACTTACCCGGGTCTGAAGAGGTCTTACACCTACAGTTGGTTGTGGAGTGGTGGCTCAGACACTCGTCTATGCAGGCGTCGAAGCTGTAGGAGGACGCATACTTGAGGGGGTTAGTGAAGGTGGGACTGTCGGTGTCAATGCAGGTGTCGTCACCAAACGACTTGTACGGCTTCGGCAGGAACTTGTACTACCGGTAGAAGCATATATACAGAACGTGTAGGAACTTTATTCAAGACAGATTATAGCATTCTTCACACCTTTCGTACAGACGTAACTGGCGAGACTGATATAAATATCAAGTTACTTTGGGTTTTCCTCTCGCAGTCGTGAAAAACGTCCACAGAAAGCTCAAGCTCCACAAAACGTTTCGACATCGCCTACCTGGTATTTGGTCATGGAGATGTAAGCCGTCGTCCCGGGGGCCACAGCGATCACGGGATCAAGATGACTCTGTTTGTCAGACGGGTGATTGATGTATATCTATAACAGATCAACAACATCAGATATTACTTGAGAAGTCTATAAGTCTATAAGTCAGCAAAAAGCGGATAGATTTAAATTTTATTCCAGCTTGGCAAGGAACGTACTATGAGCTATTTTCAAATTCTAGAAAAGGTCCATTTTAGAATTGGTCTTTAGCAACCCATAGTTGGCGACTAAGTAGATTGGGTTGTCAGGTTCGCTTGCCTGGTCTACACATGTCATATTCCAAAGGCTTAGATCGATGCTCTTACTGTTGATCACGGGATTCTTTGGTCCAGATTAGATTATTTTCAGACCGCTGCCTTACAGCTATATTTCTGAGTGCAGCGTTAAACAACAAACAAAACAACCAAATTACCATCATGGCTGCCAGGTTGAGTGGGCCGGGAAAGTAGTGTTCCTGGTGGATGTCCAGGAGAAGCTCCAGAGATCCACTTGGGCCTGGAGTGTTTGTTGTGTGGACTCCATGACGACGGATCATTTCCTCGCTTACAAACATTGATTAACACAAATATTTATTAAACCTGGTGACGGATTTCAAGCTCTTTTCTGTAGTTGCTACATCTGAGAAAATCAGTTCCAAAGAAGTATCTAGAATCTCTAGTATGTAAAATTTTAATGTATACGTGGTTTGAAAGTTTTAAAAAATACTTATTTTGGTGCATAAATTGAGGTCGGATGAGTCAGTCAATGTATTATAAGGTTCATTGATAGGTTGAAACCATACATACATTCTTAGGATTCGCACGACGTGTGAGATTTTATCATAAAGGAAAGTGTGACCAATGAACGTTGCAAAGAGGGACTATTGTGCATACAGAAAGCTTCAGAGGGAAAACAAATTGCAGCCCAATCTTGAGGTGGCAATCTAAGGATCCAAGCTTTAAGGTCATCTATGTAACATGCCTGTTACGTTACTTTACGTGTAGACCACCGTTGACGCCTTCTATACAGGCAACAGCTAGGGTGGCTCAATTGGTAGCCAACCGCTGATATGGCCTTCTTTGTAAGCAAACTTTGAGGTGGCCTTCTATGTATCCGAATGTTGAGGTGGCCTTAAATGTATCCAACCTTTGACCTGGCCTTCTATGTACCCCAGTGTTGAGGTAGCCTTGTATGTAGCTCACCGTTGCGGTGGTGATGTGAGCAACGAACCTTTCAACAGACCTCTACACTATTGGTGTTGTGAGCAACCAACCTTTGATCTGACCTTCTATGTAGCCTAGTGTTGAGGTGGCTATCTATGTAGGCTCACCATTGGAGGTGACGTTGAGAGCAACCAACCTTTGACCTGACCTTCTATGTAGCCTTGTGTTGAGGTGGCTATCTGTGTAGTCTACCATTGTATGTCTATGAAGCCACCATTGAGTGATGTGAGCAGCCAGCCTTTGACCTGACCTTCTATGTAGCCTAGTGTTGTTGAGGTGGCTATCTATGGTAGCTCACCATTGAGTGACGTTGATGAGCAAATTGTGGTGGTGATGTGAGCAACTCTTTATGTACCTGGCCTTCTATGTAGCCTAGTGTTTAGGTGGCTTTCAATGTAGCCCAAAGGTGGCTATCTATGTAATTGTGGTGGCATTGTAGAGCAACTGACCTTGACTGACCTTCTATGTAGCCTAGTGTTGAGGTCATTTGAGAGAAATGAGAAGCTCTCTTAAACTATATTTGTTCAGATGTCTCCTGTACTCGAAGCACCGTTGTGATAGTAGTTGCATTAACTGTTTATGATGATTGTTTGGGGACACATACCTGTTAAACCGGAAGCAGTATCCTGTTGCACCATTAACCTCGTCAAACATGTCGAGAGTCACTTCTTGCCCTCGGAAGAGAGCAAACCGCATGTAATCCCATTTCCTGAGGGACATGGTCCTGTAGAGAAAGGCTTGCTCTGTCTTCATTAAAGGAGACACTGAAGACTCGTTTACCTTTATTAAATTGGAAAGAATCGGGTTCAGAGACACAAACAGTTCCTTCATGGCAGTGGGGTTTTCCACTACGTTGCTGTTGTATCCGTTAGCGTTGCAGAATGTAATGGTGGGGAAATCCATGGACGGGAGATATTCCACACTCGACTTGGTAATAACTGGGTACTTCAAGTAAGATAATGTCAGGTCGACAACAATCCACAGCAGACACACGACCATTGAGCACAGAATGATGAACCACCATATTCTGCCAAAAGATACGATTATGTGAGTAATGTTTAACAGTATTTAGTTTTTACTCTGTAAATATGTACAAAATTAATTGAGTTGTTTGCTAGTGCTACGAGTGTGACAGGACATGCCTTTTGTTAACTGAAGGTAAGACCTTGATTCGGAGGGACGGTTGGGTAGCCTTGTGGTCAAAGCATTGGGTCGTGAAGCTGAAGAGCCTGGTTCGATTCTCCTTATGGGTACAAGTGTGAAGCCCATTTCTGGTGTCCCCCACCGTGATATTTTGGAGTATTGCTAAAAGCGGCGTAAAACCAAACTCACCCACTCAACCTTGATTGTAAACATGGCGGAATGCCATTATCACTCAGCCAGTCACTAGTGTACCTAGCCCACTTTCAATCTTTGCTACCTATGGTAACCTGCTGGGGTCATCCCAGCTAACACACAACGTTTTCATAACGTTGTGGGAAGGTTGTAGATTGGTAACGTCATGACAAAACGTTGTCACAACGTTAGTATTACATCTTTTTACAACGTTATTTCACAACGTTACAACAACGTTACATATATACGTTGTCAAAACGTTCGGTATCGACTATTACACAATATCTTGGTGTCACGATAGAATTTTCTGTTAAACTTTTCACTTTGAGATTCTTTCTTCACTATTCAGCTGCAGCTTCAGAAAACACACGGTCAAACCAACATGCACATTGACGAATAAACATTGAAGTGAATTTCTGCTTTGTTTCTTATATACTGTTCACTACTGGGAAAACTGTCAACTATTAACGTTAAATAGAACGTTAAGACAACGTAAAATACTTTAGCATCAAATAACTTTAACATTGTGACGACGTGAAAATGTCTTATCACAACGTCATGGAGACGATTTTTTTCTTGCGGACTGATATCAAACTCCGTCTGCTTATTATTGTACGGAGTTCGGTATTGATAACACTGGCAAATCTGAATCAGTCGCGTAGTGCAATTAATTAATGAGTCGACATTGTCAATGTGACGTGTTTTACACGTGTATCGTCCTGACACCATTGATTTGCGAAACAAACGGGTAGTTTGAGATTCGTTGTTCATGCATAATGAGTCATTCCAGTGTGATTAAGTGTTGTGTTGACAGCAATGTCAATATACACGTCAACGATAGCTAAATCAGTCCCTTTGTCCTTAGTCAGTACTGTTATCCTCCATCCCACCATGTATAAAGTCTGGCGTACGTAGTTAAATCATACAATGGCAGAAGACAGCATAATATACTTGTATGTGGATGACATACACATTTACTGATGTGGGTAAGACAATAAAGGCTGTATTCCCCATGTACACTGCTTCAAAACCCCCAACACACACACACACACACACACACCCCCTCAAGATTTTGATGAGGTGTATAATTTCTTTTCCTCGGCATTTGGTGTTCCTGTCGACTAATTGGTATTGAAATTACTTTTCCGTTTGAGTATATTATTGTGAATATACATCATTGGACATTTATTCATTTGGTGGTTATAAGAAATAATCTCCGACGTGAACTCTCCCCGTGACCTGTGTCGCTGTTAACAGGGCGGCGTATACAGTAGCATTGCAGTCCATGATGGAGCGGAGTGGAGGGGAGCGGAGAGGAGATGGGCGGGGAGAGGGAGAGGGAGGTGAGCGGAGAGGAGAGGGTGGAGCGGAGTGGAGTGGAATGGAGCGGAGAGGAGATGGAGCGGAGAAGAGCGGGAGAGGTGAAGAGCGGAGAGGGAGATGGAGCGGGGAAGAGGGGAGCGAAGAGGAGAGGAGAGGAGGCGGAGTGGGGTGGAGTGCAGCGGAGCGGAGATGGAGCGGAGAAGAGCGGAGTGGTGAAGAGCGGAGAGGAGTGAAGTGGTGAGGGAGTGGAGGAAGTGGTGAGGAGTGAGAGGAGGAGCGAGATTGGGAGGGAGTGGAGGAAGCGGTGGTGGAGATGGAGTGGAGTGGAGTGGAGAGGGAGGTAGAGTGGAGTGGAGTGGAGATGGAGGGAGATGGAGGCAGGAAGGGAGTTGAGTTGAGTGGAGTTGAGCTGAGTGGAGCTGAGTGAGGGAGAGGAGGAGGGGCGGAGTGGAGCGGAGGGAGTAGAGATGGAGCAGAGAAGAGCGGAGTGGTGAAGAGCGGAGAGGAGAGGGGCGGAGTGGAGTGGAGTGGAGATGGAGTAGAGATGGAGCGGCGTGGAGCGGAGAAGAGAGGAAAGAAAATCAGAGCGGAGTGAAGTGGTGAGGAGTGGAGTGAAGTGGTGAAGAGCGGATTGGATTGGATTTGATTGGATTGGATTGGAGCGGAGTGGAGATGGGTCGGAGATGGAGTGGAGAGGAGCGGAGTGGAGAGATGAAGCGGAGATAGGCGAAGCGGAGTGGAGTGGAGTGGGAGTGGATTGGATTGGAGTGGAGTGGAGTGGAGCGGAGTGGAGCGGAGTGGAGTGGAGTGGAGCGGGGAGGAGTGGAGTGGTCACCAAAAGTGGGCCCCAGACATCGCTCCCCAAATATTAAACGCTGAGTCCCTTACCTCTCTGCACGTGTCTTCTGTGTCTTCACAAGGTTATTGCAGGCATGGAGGCTGGTGTCTTCAGCAAACGAACACCACACTTGACGCCATGCCCCCGGCGGTTTAGCCTTGATAGGCAGCGCCATCTTGATCTGTACGTCAGGCGTTCTATCAGCGTCGGTCTCATGAACTTTTACGAGTTAACGCTGAACTTTAGTGGTTCGTCGCCACCTGTTGTTCTCTGTCCAACCTAAACAACTACAAGTTTAACCTCAGCGGTTTCCTATTTTCCAATGAACGGTTCCTGTTTCATCCACTTTCACGATTCTGTCTTCTTCATCCCCAACGGCGACTTTTTCACCTCGAACGTTTACTAGTTCACCACAAACTGCAAACTAGTTTTCAACGTGTGTTCTCTTCTCACCATCAACGGGCACGGGTTCACCCTCAAAGGCTACTGGTTCACTTACAAAACGACTGGTCATCTATGTTTGTTTTTTGTTTTCTCTTAAAAGGCCACTCCTCATTCACACCTCAGCAACATTTTATGTCCAACTTTAACGGTTACCGGTTAGCACTTGGTGTCCTTCCCGGCCACTGATTTATCCACAAGTTATATTCTTTGTCTTTCAGTTCACCTTCAACAACTATTAAATCACTAACCGTTCTCTGTCCATCTGTAACGACACCTGGTTCGTCCAACGTCCTTTGTCCAGCTTCAACATCTACTCAACAACTATAACAAAATACTGCCTCAATGGAGTCTTTGTTTGCGTTCATGGCGACACCATCACTACATACCCTGTCCGGCTTAAATGGCCATGCAGTTGTATCAGCCCATACTGAAAGCCTGCTTGGTCCACCCTAAACAGCTATTACTGCTATTAATCTCTCCGACAACTCCCCTTGTCTGCTTTCATCGCCTCTTCCGGGCGAACAACGATTTAGCGTCCTTCCATACTGAACTGGTTTGACTTACTGAACACTATGCATAATTTATATCCTTTAAGCGATCACCTACCCCGACATAGAATGATTAAAGTGTTTCGCCTAACGCGCATTGCTAATGTATAGTTGGGGATCGGCCATTGTAAAAATACAAACCAATATGTACTCACATTTGTTTCATTTATTGACTGTCATTTCCAAAGACCATCAGGCGCCATTAACATGTTTATTGTTCAATGTTTGCAGACTTCTCCATCTCTGTCGATACCGTAATCACAGGCCAGCGTACCCCAGGCTTTGACTGTGTTCACTGGTTTATCGATAATGAAAGCTTTAATCAAATGTGAGCCCGATCATATTTCATGATTAGAATGAATTTTTTATATGAGTTCAATTTATTTTGATGTATTTTTAATTACCATTGGTTACATGTTTTACAGTTTATTGAAAATGTCTGAACCTTGTGCAGGAAAAGTGATAGCTGGATTGAGTGGGTGTGTGAGTGAATGAGTGGGTGAGTGAGTGGGTGAGTGGTTGGGTGATTGATTGATTTGTTGATTGATTGAGTTGATGGGTGAGTGGGTTAGTGGGTTAGTGAGTGAGTAGGTTAGTGGCTGAGTGAGTGATAGTGAAAATAAGCATCAGAGATACTACCATTCTCCTGCTCCAACGGTACCAGAATCATCAATAAAGGGTGTGTGAACCATTCAGACGTTGTGCTCATTGAACAGGCCAAGGAATATGGGGATTTTCAGACATTTAACAGCATGGTTGACTTATGGTGGGGATGTGCCAAGTCTTGAAGATTGATGGATTGACTCCTGGACAAATATACTTGTAAACATTGCATGTTCTTTTACCCCGGAGGATGAAGCCTGGTGGACTTACTCCTACGAGCAACTGAAAAGCCACAATCACCATACGACTCGAATGAGTGAGTGAGTTGATTTTAGTCCGCATTTAGCAATATGCCAGCAATATCACCACGGGGACGTCAGAAATGGGCTTCACACATTGTACCATGTGGGAATCGAACCCGGGTCTTTGGCGTGACGAGCGAACGCGTTAACCACTAGGCTACATGGCAGAAACATTACACAAGAGCTGGGACGAGAATACTTCTAAAATGCGAAATAGGGATTTCATTTGAATTGTTGTCCCATCGGATATGTAAGGATCACGTCCAGCAAAATTTCTTATGATATGCTTCAGGTGTTGTGATGCTGCTGAAAAAAACACAACAACTTCTTTATTTTAAGCAGTAACATTATTTATTAGCCTGATGTCAAGGGGTATTGAAAAGATATTTCTTCTGGGACTAGTTAGACTAATCAACTCTGAGTTAGCTCCTTTGCTCCGATGATAAATGGAGATTGTAACAGGGGTAACAGGCTGGTAACATATACCCCGGTGTGAGGTCCACACAACGTGAAGCAAGGAGTTCCCTGGCTGATCGCCGCGAATAGCTGCAACATTGATGATGCGGCGTTAAGGAATATTCACTCACTCGCTCCTTGGCTGAAATACTGGAGCGCAAACACAACAACACAGTCTATATCTTATATGCGCTTGTCTCAATGCAAGACGTCTCCGTGATTCACGGTAGCCAATCATTCGGACCGACGGTAGTGGACAATGGGGTTCTAGTGCTCTTGGCCAGAGCGGCGTGTTTGTTTCCGAGTACCCCACTGTCTGGCAATGGCCTTGGTCGAGCGGAAACAGGCTTCAAACACTTCATACAGCGTCACAATGCTCGCCCCGAGGAAAAAACCCATCTGACCTCCCAGGGTGCCTTCAAACACACAAAAACAACAGTTATATTGTGAGTCACTGATGATATAATACGCAACAGTCCTGAAAGTTTGTAAACTGACCATTGAAACTCGTGTGAAAACGGGTAAACATGTACTGTGCACCCCCAACCCCCATCCCCCTCTCTCAAAGAAGCTATATCTGCCCTGGGAAGATTAAACCATTAATCCATATATCACTCCACACACACGTGTATCAACCATATATTCACAATGCAGTATAACATTATACAATAACATAAACACTAACCCCAAAAATCCCACAACAAAAGACAAAACCCCAAGAAAAGAGACACCGTGACGAATACATGATACGATTTTAATAAAAAGGGAAACAACTTACCCACCATCGAGGTCAGTGTGTACTCCGGTTCGTATTCAAGCTTATGTACAATCAACCGTTCGTACCATATGTTGATGCTGACCAGATTTTGTCTGTAAGAAATGGTGTATTAAAGTCGTTTTATTAGCTGCACGCTTGTATACATAATCATATGTTCTGTTGTAACCCATTTCGAAACAAACGACCATGATTTGTCTTGACTGTGAGTGAGTGAGTGAGTTTGGTTTTACGCCACTTTTTGCAATATTCCAGCAATTTCACGGCGGGGGACACCAGAAATGGGCTTCACACATTGTGCCCACGTGGGGAATCGAACCCGGGCCTACGGCGTGACGAGCGAACGCTTTAACCACTAGGCTACCCCACCACACGTCTTGACTGTGAAGCAATGCATAAGAAATAGCAGCAAATTTACAAATTAAAATTTACACGAGTTGCACTTCGTTGTAACAGGAGGGAAGTGTTAGAAATGCTGGAGAATTCTGTGTTTCGTAATAAATATTGTTACGTGAATGTCAAAGTATCTATCGTCTGCAAAACTCAATATGGACGACAGTTTGGCCCAAGACTAACATCGAGTTTCTGAAATTAACATATTTTACCGAAAACGTATTCCTAAATTATAATGATCAAATGTAATGAAAAGGAGCCCATATACTTTAAACTGGGGGAATCTTGCCTTGCCACATATTCTATACTTGCATGGACTTTCTTGAATATTTTTCTTTCAGGGTCTGTATGACAAACTAGGGCCAGCCAAACCGAGTTTGAACCAGGAAAACCAGTCCAAATAGAGGGACAGCATACCTTCAGGATCTCCGAGGGCACTGGGGTTCCTATTCAGTTGAAGTTTTTGGTTTGGCTGAAATTATATTTTTTCAGAGACTAAGCCTTGGTCTGTCAAACTTTGGTGTGTACTTTCTTTTGCACGGAAGTGTACTTAACCTGGCATATTCTGCCGATGGCACGACGTTGTTCCGAACCATGTAGTCGGTGACGGCATTGGAGGGGAATGCACCGTACGACAGCTTGGTGTCGTACACAAAGAATCTACACGGCTTGTGACAGTGGCAGAGTTCTCGCTGTGACGTCTGGTTGTAGTATACCAACGCTAAAAAAAAATCACAGTGGAAGTAAACCTAAAGAAAGTATAATAATATATATTCCTGAATTTCTTCATCTTAAATATGTCACCCCATGGTTACAACATTGTAGGGAAGAAGTTCATTAACGCCCCATGGTTGGAACATTCATACCGGTGAATGCAGGTATACTACCACGGTTTGTTAAGTGCTCGATTCGAATGACACGAGGCTAAAAAGCCATGCAGTCAAAATACAATTATAAGCGAAAGATATTTTGCGCTAACTTTGTGATTAGATGTGTTACAGGGTATTAATCATGAAACATTAATCAGGAACTGGATAATGACGTGGAATAAGCGTGTTCTTACCGGTGTAAGTAAATGTGCAGCCGAAGAGTTCCTCCAACGTGCAGTATGGGTATGGCAGGTCGTCTGAAACATAAAACAGGTGTATCTAAAGCTGGGGGTTAGTAGTGAGTGAGTGAAGTTAGTTTTACGCCGCTTTTAGCAATATTACAGCAATATCACGGAGGGGACACGATAAATAGGCTTCGCAGATTGTACCCATCTAGGGCATCGAACCCGGGCCTTCGGCGTGACGAGCGAACGCCTTAACCAACATAGCACTATACAGAACTTTAGTCTCTACTTTAAGGAAAGATAAGTATTCCAGCAAACATTTTAAACAATGATTTCACTCAAACACCTTTCCTTCTGTGTTTTCGACCGCCTCCGTAGTGTAGTAGTTAGAGCGTCCGCCCGGAGAGCGTAAGGTCGCGGGTTCGATCCCCGGCCGCGTCATACCAAAAGACGTAAAAATATGGTACTTGTTGGTCCCTGCCTTGCGCTCGGCATTAATGGGTACAAAAAGGACTGGTCGGCTCGGAGTCAGTATAATGTGTCTGAGTGGGGTATTCATGCTTCACTGCGGCATGGTATCTCAGTGGGCTAGCACTATAAAACCAGCTTCAGTCTGGGCTAGTACAAGCAGCCGCACATACACATACACACACACGCATGCACGTCGTCATATGAGCGAAATATTCTCCAGCACGACGTTAAACCCAATTTCACCTCACCTCACCGTCTGTGTTTTCACTTACCAGTGTCTGTCGTTGAGATTGAATCTTAATCAGTGGTGAAGATTCAGGTAACACAACAAAAGGGGTAAGAAGTGGTCTTACATGGACCTTTACTGGCGGAGAGTCGGATGTGATCCGTTTCTGAAGTGGGCTCCTACCCACGCAAGTGACAAAACTTCGAGTATCACACTTACCCAGATCTGACAGGCTCATTTTCTGGCGTTGAAGAGTTGGGTGTCAGACTTAGTCGGGTCTTAGTCGGGTATCATTTACCCGAGTAACTGGTGGAGAGTCGGGTGTCACACTTACCCAGGCTTAAAGTGGTCCTACACATACAGTTGGTGGTGGAGAATCAGGTGTATATCCTAAAGGGAGTTACACCCACAGTTGGTCCAGAGAGTCGGGTATACAACTTACCCGGGTCTGAAGAGGTCTTACACCTGCAGTTGGTGGTGGAGTGGTGGCTCAGACACTCGTCTATGCAGGCGTCGAAGCTGTAGGAAGACGCATACTTGAGGGGGTTAGTGAAGGTGGGACTGTCGGTGTCGATGCAGGTGTCATCACCAAATGACTTGTACGGCTTCGGCAGGAACTTGTACTACCAGTAGAAGCATATAGACAGAACGTGTAGGACATTTGCTCAACATAGATTTTATTATTCGTCTTACCTTTCGTACAGACGTAACTGATGACATGAATAAAAATCAACTTTCTTTGGGTTTTCCCCTCGCACAGTGACAAAATTGACAAACGTCCACAGAAAGCTCCAGCTCCAGAAAACGTTGCGACATTGCCTACCTGGTGTTTGGTCATGGAGATGTAAGCCGTTGTCCCGGGGGGCCACAGCTATCACGGGATCAAGATGACTCTGTTTGTCAGACGGGTGATTGATGTATATCTATAACAGATCCACAACATGTACATCAGATGTTACTTCAGAAGTCAGCAAAGAGCGGATAGATTCCAGCTTGGCAAGGAACGTACTTATGTGCCATTTTCAAATGTCTCGAAAATTAAACCATATCAATCCCACCATGTACCCTTGAAAGTCCATGTTAGAATTGGTCTTCAGCAACCCATAGTTGATTTGGTTCGCTTGCCTGGTTGACACATGTCATATTCCAAATGCTTAGATCGATGCTCTTACTGTTGATTACTGCATTGTTTGGTCCAGACTCGATTATTTACAGACCGCTGCCATATAGCTGGAATATTTCTGAGTGCAGCCTTAAACAACAACCAAAACATCCAAATTACCATCATGGCTGCCAGGTTGAATGGACCGGGAAAGTAGTGTTCCTGGTGGATGTCCAGGAGAATCTCCAGAGATCCACTTGGGCCTGGAGTGTTTGTTGTGTGGACTCCATGACGACGGATCATTTCCTCGCTTACAAACATTGATTAACACAAATATTTATTAAACCTATTTATAAACTTTATTTCAAGCTCTTTTCTGTAGTTGCTACATCTGAGAAAGTAGAAAATCAGTTCCACAGAAGTATCTGGAATCTCTAGAACGTAAATTTTTAATGTATGCGTGCTTTGAAATGTTTTTTAAAATGCTTATTTTGGTACATAAACTGAGGTCGGATGAGTCAGTCAATGTATTATAAGGTTCATTGATAGTTCGTAAAAAGCTTGAAACCAAGTATACATTCTTAGGATTCGTACGACATGTGAGATTTTATCATGAAGGAAAGTGTGACCAACGAAATTTGCAAAGAGGGACTATTGTGCTTCAGAGTGAAATAAACCCCTTTGCAGCCCAACTTTGAGGTGGCCATCTAAGAATCCAAGCTTTGAGTTAGCCATGTATGTAGCACATCGGTGACGTTGCCTTCCGTGTAGGCCACCGTTGACACCTTCTATACAGGCAACAGCTGGGGTATGGCCTTCTTTGTAAGCAAACTTTGAGATTGCCTTCTATGTATCCCAATGTTGAGGTGTCCATAAATGTACTCAACCTTTGACCTGGCCTTCTGTGTACCCCAGCGTTGAGGTGGCCTTAAGTGTACCCCACCGTTAAAGCGTACTTCTATGTAGCACACTTTTGAGGTGGCTTCCTATGCAGGCAACGGCGGGGGTTGCTCTGTATGTAGCCAGTCGTTGAGGTGGCTTCTGTTTAGCCAACCATTGTGGTGATCTTCATTGTAGCTAACGGTTGAGGTGGCCATCAGAGTTACCAACCGTTGACGTTGCCTTCTGTGTATGCCACCCTTGACGTAGACTTCTGTTTAGCCAACCGTTGACATGACCTTCTATGTAGTCAACAGTTGTTTTGGCTTACTTTCTAGCCCAGTGCCAAGGTGGCCATCTATGTAGCCCACAATTGTGGTGGTGATGTGAGCAGCCAGCCTTTGCCCTGACCTTCTATGTAGCCTAGAGTTTAGGTGGCTATCTATGTAGCCCACCATTGTGGTGGTGATGTGAGCAGCCAACCTTTGACCTGACCTTCTATGTAGCCTAGAGTTTAGGTGGCTATCTATGTAGCCCACCATTGTGGTGGTGATGTGAGCAGCCAACCTTTGACCTGACCTTCTATGTAGCCTAGTGTTGAGGTGGCTATCTGTGTAGCCCACCACTGTGGTGGTGATGTGAGCAGCCAGCCTTTGACCTGACCTTCTATGTAGCCTAGTGTTTAGGTGGCTATCTGTGTAGCCCACCATTGTGGTGGCGATGTGAGCAGCCAACCTTTGACCTGACCTTCTATGTAGCGTAGAGTTTAGGTGGCTATCTGTGTAGCCCGCCATTGTGGTGGTGATGTGAGCAGCCAGCCTTTGACCTACCTTCTATGTAGCCTAGTGTTGAGGTGGCTATCTGTGTAGCCCACCATTGAGGTGACGTTGACAGCAGCCAACCTTTGACCTGACCTTCTATGTAGCCTAGTGTTGAGGTGGCTATCTGTGTAGCCCACCATTGTGGTGGTGATGTGAGCAGCCAGCCTTTGACCTGACCTTCTATGTAGCCTAGTGTTGAGGTGGCTATCTGTGTAGCCCACCATTGTGGTGGTGATGTGAGCAACCAGCCCTTTGACCTGACCTTCTATGTAGCCTAGTGTTGAGGTGGCTATCTGTGTAGCCCACCATTGTGGTGGTGATGTGAGCAACCAACCTTTGACCTGACCTTCTATGTAGCCTAGTGTTTAGGTGGCTATCTATGTCGCTCACCATTGAGGTGACGTTGAGAGCAACCAGCCTTTGACCTGACCTTCTATGTAGCCTAGTGTTATGGTGGTTATCTGTTTAGCCCACCATTGAGGTGACGTTGAGAGCAACCAACCTTTGACCTGACCTTCTATGTAGCCTAGTGTTGAGGTGGCTATCTGTGTAGCCCACCGTTGTGGTGGTGATGTGAGCAGCCAGCCTTTGACCTGACCTTCTATGTAGCCTAGTGTTGAGGTGGCTATCTGTGTAGCCCACCATTGTGGTGGTGATGTGAGCAGCCAGCCCTTGACCTGACCTTCTATGTAGCCTAGTGTTGAGGTGGCTATCTGTGTAGCCCACCATTGTGGTGGTGATGTGAGCAACCAACCTTTGACCTGACCTTCTATGTAGCCTAGTGTTTAGGTGGCTATCTATGTAGCCCAAAATTGTGGTGGCGTTGTGAGCAGCCAGCCTTTGACCTGACGTTCTATGTAGCCTAGTGTTTAGGTGGCTATCTGTGTAGCCCACCATTGAGGTGACGTTGAGAGCAACCAACCTTTGACCTGACCTTCTATGTAGCCTAGTGTTTAGGTCATTTGAGAGAAATGAGAAGCTCTCTTAAACTATATTTGTTCAGATGTCTCCTGTACTGGAAGCACCGTTGTGATAGTAGTTGCATTAACTGTTTATGATGATTGTTTGGGGACACATACCTGTTAAACCGGAAGCAGTATCCTGTTGGACCATTAACCTCGTCAAACATGTCAAGAGTCACTTCTTGCCCTCGGAAGAGAGCAAAGCGCATGTAATCCCATTTCCTGAGGGACATGGTCCTGTAGAGAAAGGCTTGCTCTGTCTTCATTAAAGGAGACACTAAAGACACGTTTACCTTTATTAAATTGGAGAGAATCGGGTTCAGAGACACAAACAGTTCCTTCATGGCAGTGGGGTTTTCCACTACGTTGCTGTTGTATCCGTTAGCGTTGCAGAATGTAATGGTGGGGAAATCCATGGACGGGAGATATTCCACACTCGACTTGGTAATAACTGGGTACTTCAAGTAAGATAATGTCAGGTCGACAACAATCCACAGCAGACACACGACCATTGAACACAGAATGATGAACCACCATATTCTGCCAAAAGATACGAGTATGTGAGTAATGTTTAACAGTATTTAGTTTTTAGGCTGTAAATATGTACAAAATTAATTGAGTTGTTTGCTAGTGCTACGAGTGTGACAGGACATGCCTTTTGTTAACTGAAGGTAAGACCTTGATTCGGAGGGACGGTTTGGTAGCCTTGTGGTCAAAGCATTGGGTCCAAGTGTGAAGTGGTCGATTCTCCTTAAAGCATTGGGTACAAGTGTGAAGCCCATTTCTGGTGTCCCCCACCGTGATATTTTGGAATATTGCTAAAAGCGGCGTAAAACCAAACTCACCCACTCAACCATGATTGTAAACATGGCGGAACGCCATTGTCACTCAGCCAGTCACTAGTGTACCTAGCCCACTTTCAATCTTTGCTACCTATGGTAACCTGCCGGGGTCATCCCAGCTAACACACAACGTTTTCATAAAGTTGTGGGAAGGTTGTAGATTGGTAACGTCATGACAAAACGTTGTCACAACGTTAGTATTACATCTTTTTACAACGTTATTTCACAACGTTACAACAACGTTACATATATACGTTGTCAAAACGTTCGGTATCGACTATTACACAATATCTTGGTGTCACGATAGAATTTTCTGTTAAACTTTTCACTTTGAGATTCTTTCTTCACTATTCAGCTGCAGCTTCAGAAAACACCCGACCAAACCAACATGCAAATTGACGAATAAACATTGAAGTGAATTTCTGCTTTGTTTCTTATGTACTGTTCACTACTGGGAAAACTGTCAACTATTAACGTTAAATAGAACGTTAAGACAACGTAAAATACTTTAGCATCAAATAACTTTAACATTGTGACGACGTGAAAATGTCTTATCACAACGTCATGTCACAATGATGTCCACAGAATAACGTTGTGGCAACGTGAAATTGTTAGCTGAGAAACCCTTTCACAGGACGCCTTGCTTTGCGGCGGGCTACATGGAGACGATTTTTAACGACTGATATCAAACTCCGTCTGCTTATTATTGTACGGAGTTCGGTATTGATAACACTGGCAAATCTGAATCAGTCGCGTAGTGCAAGTAATTAATGAGTCGACATTGTCTAGGTGACGGGTAGTTTGAGATTCGTTGTTCATGCATAATGAGTCATTCCAGTGTGATGAAGTGTTGTGTTGACAGCAATGTTAATATACACGTCAACGTTATCGTCCATCCTACCATGTATAAAATCAATTTTGGGGTATGCTGTTAAATCATACAATGGCAGAAGACAGCATAATATATTTATATGTGGATGACATACACATTTAACGATGTGGGTAAGACAATAAAGG